TTATATTTTGTCCTCTGGTTATCATATGAACCATCTCCGAACTACAAAATCCAACAAAGGCAGTGGAATTTTCAAACTTCATTATTTTCACTCATTACGCCTGGTCATAAACGCTCTTGGCGGCGTACCGTTCGCCTACTCAAACGCCTGACCATGATTTCCTTCTCATATTTTAACTGTAAAAAGTCAGCGGGAAGGAATATATCTTTTTTCTTGGACATTAAAATGGTCTTGATCTAGCCTGACAAAAATGGACCACGCAGGGCCTACCAAATAACGGAAATCAGATATTGTTACACTATAAACTGGCAAGCTTCTTTAGCAGAAAGACACATTTGGAACGTGAACTAGGAAAGGAAACCCCCCAAAATATGTTCCTGTTATATCTACCCGGGATTCAGATATATGCTTGAGTTATAGGATCAAGCGACCATATTGTAAAACACTTTGATTTCTCTATGTTTTCTAAACCAAATATACTTGACACGTGTGAAAGAAATATTTAGCAAGAAAACTACCCACTTACGAGAGGAGAAGTCTCGGAGTTGCCGTGGCAAAATAAACTGTAGGTTACAATAAATGGCTGTTACACAACTGTCGGTCCGTCATGAAGGAGGATTATTGACTGCGACGTTCCGAAGAAGACAGTTAGCAGATGGGGTGAAATTTTCCAAAGACCGTTCGTTAAATGTTGCCACCCTTTTTTATGTTATAGTAAGATTTCCAAAAAAATGGGCAGTCATACTTAGAGACGCCCTTAGAAATCCAATAGCTGATGCCAAGTGGATGGCTGATAGTTTCAACGCTTTCTTGTCCATAACGTTTACTTAGAGACGCCGTTAGAAATCCTATAGCTGAGGACAAATTTATGGCTGATAGCTTCAACGCTTTCTTGTCCAGAATGTTTATTGAAAATTCGGTCACCTCACTTCTAATCATACGGGTTTGGACCGGCACAATCCTTGAAATAATAACTTGCCCCCAGTGGGCCATGATCACAGCCATTCGATGTTTTCGTCAATCTCATAATCTTGGACCAGATGGCGTCCTGGTCTACTTTTTCTTTTTAAACTTTTCAGCAGTGGAACTTTTAATTCTCTGACCACTCTGAGGCTGCATGACCATCAACAAGCGCACTAATCGCCTATATGTCTTTTTATTTCTACTTCTGACATGCACGTTTAGAAGTCATCAGTTTCTTCAGTAAAAGTCATTGCACTCTGGAATGTGTTAGTTTGACCATCACAAGCGGTGATATCCACAATCTGGAATAAGCTACACAGGAATATCAAAATTCAGAAAAGTTATTCTTTGTTTAGAAGGTCAATCACTACTTGTCTACATTTAAGCCACTTTAACGAATATTTTTTGCAGGTTTGATGGAATCTCTCCTCCGCACCGACGGCGTTCGCGAACTCTGAACCCTGTGCAAGGCTTCATCTTGAGAGCAATGGCGCCGACACTGTAATCCACAAGCGGCTAATTCTACAGCCGACAGCGACCAACCGCTCACCGGCGTACCTATATAGGGTACAGCATACCACTTCGATAAGAGTGAAAGGACACTGACAACATCTTGCTCTTGTACCAACCCTTTCCCTTACAAACTCCTAACATTTAACGAGCTGTAGTTATTTCTCCTGAAAAAAACCAGTTCATGGTAAGCTAGCAAAAACTTTGAGGAGTTTTTCCACTGATAGATCAACCTCCTACTGTGAAGTACTTTCGACTTCGCCTGGCAGTAAATGCAATTAATTAATAAAGAGGAAAAACCACTGTCTTGTCTTCAACCCGTATCTCAAATTAACTATGCCTCCCTA